GTATTTTCTTCACATTTGCAAGGACAATCTTTATTTCCAATTATTTTTAATCTAGGCACTAACATTAAGCACAGAGCTATTGTAAGTTTCCTCTCAAGAACCACAGTTCTTCAAGTCTAATGTCTAACCCCTTCCAGTTCCCATTCACATGAACAGAAGCACTCTGTACACCAAAGGACAGCTAATCCAATGGAATTCCTACAAAAACATATAAACACCGTAATTTACCTCCACCTTCAATTTGTATTGATGACAGTCACTGTCATTACCTCTATTCTTGGTTTCTTTGCTTCTGCTAATATTTCATCTGCTGCTCTTTTAACTGCAAGAAAAAGAGGACATTAAAAATGCAAGACTGTAGTAGATTTTTATAAAATCAACCTCAAAGTTATTTTTTAGTTAAATCATACCTTGAGTGGATCGTTGAAGACCAATTTCAAGTGGAGCACTTCTGTCTATGCTTGATGAGGTTGCTGCACTCAAACAGAACATTCAGTTTAAATAGAAAACATCTGCAATAATATTTGGGTATAAAAGAAAGAAGGGCAGCGTGAACTGCAACAATGGAAATTCTATGTAGTAGGTAGCAAAGGTGGTCAAACAGTAGAGGAGTGGAGATACTCAGAACTTTACTGAATGTAAAGCTCAATCATGTTGCTCAGGGTCATTTGGCCCTTCTTTGAAAACGGGATTGAACCAGGTGACCTCTTCTGGTCCATTCCAACATAAATTAATCAATGATTGTATGATCTCTATATACAACTCATAAAAGAAAACAGAGTCACAATGAGAATTAGAATCTAGAATCAAGATCTACTGGGTCTAGAATTTTTTTTAAAAACGACAACCTGCTGATCTGTTTAAAATATATATATAAAGTGATTTTACTCATCATATTACAGAATAATCTCATACTCCAAGATACTTCAAATTTGAAGACCACCTATGAAACAGAGCATCTTACAGAGGTGATATACCTGTTTTTCTCAGAGAAAACTCTTTAACTATTGTTATCAAAAAAATTAAGATGAAATGCTAGGCAAATCTGCCAGGCTGACAGAGCAGTGATTTATTATATTTTATTAAACTGAAGATTTCATCCCACGTATTTCTTGCATTCAAGATCAATGTACTACTAAAAGCTTCTCATAGTCTAGAGAAGGAAAAAACATACATGCTAAGCATTCTAACACATAATTATTAACCAAAGTAGGTTAATAGTAACAGCAATAATAATGTTCACCTTTAAACATGCATGTAGGAATGGTTCTCCTATCTAAGTAAAACAGTTAATTTAAGAATACAATGAAAAACGCAAGAAATAATAACTTTGAGAAGTTTCAGCACATTCAGTAAAGATGCAAACTGCCTATTCTTACCCAATCTACCCCTCACTTGTGCCAAAAATATGAAGCAGTAAAGAGTACTGTGTGTCCAAGTCAAAAGAACGCATCACTCACATGTTTCCCCATTTAGGTATGCAAGCAAATCTTTCCTATCAGGTCTTCTTACCACAGGAATGTTTTCAGTCTGAAAAGACAGCAGATGTGACATTAAACCGTTCTTCACCCACAGAGACTCTTGTTAAAGATTTTTCACTTTTACTGAAAACTACTCATTCACACAAAAAAAATGACCACATGTCCTGCCACCCAAAGAAGCTTAACTATCAAGCCTCAAGTGCAACCACATCCTAGAGGATGTTCTGCTACACAAAATTAAACATACAGCCTGCAAAGAAACTGAAAGAGAGGGCAGCCATTTTCCTCCTTCCCTTGAAACTTGCAAATAAGATTAAGAACTAGTTTTTATCACACACACACACACTTCTCTGCCAGGAGGACTGTGTTGCTATATAGAACTCATGTATCTCAATGGCGTTGTCCCAACACAG